GCTTGCTGAAAACCAGAAAAACTAGTGAAAGAAAATAATTTCTGCAGATTTTAGACCTAAAAGTTGAATAAGTTGACCTAAAAGGCGAAAACAAAGTTAAAGAAACTGTTGGAAATGGTATCCATTCTCCTGTATACATAGATTGACACGTCTTTTCATGTTATCAAACACATTGCGCGGTGTAGCTGGAGTAATGCGAGCACACTCTTCGACTCTTCAGGAATTCTGTCTTTCAGTTCTTCAAAGATAAAATTCATGAGATCAAATTTTATAACAATTTACTTATCTAAGAAATTACACTTGTTTGGTTATGGTTAGAGGCGAGGGAAGTTCTACCTAAATAACTTTAGACCCATTTTTTCATGTTTTGTTGCCACAATTGATAGTTTTCTATCTGAGTTCAAGTGAACTGATGGTTTCTTTCATTAAATCCCTCACAAGCAGTAACGATAACAAATTAATTAATTGTTTTGTGTGTAGACCTGAAGAAGAGTTCAATTTAGTCCAAAACGTAGCTTTATAAGTAGAAAAAGTGTCGTAATGAGATTTTTTTTAACATAGTATCCTTAATTAAAAAATAGGTTCGGTTCAAATTTGGATGCATATTTAAAACAAGAATATTAATATTGCAGTGCATCGTATAGTCAAAATTAATTTAATTATACGACGGCGACGTTTCAGTGGACTGAAAATTAAAACACAAGTATTAAGCGTATAATAATTCAAGTTTCAAGCAGCCGCATTGCACCGAAACGTTAAAAACTATGACATAACTTAGCTCCATTTTCTCAAGACACGATAATTAAATTATTAAAAAAATGTAACATAGGGAGTAGAAAAATACATTTCTTCTGCACCATACCGGTGTATACTAATAATTAATAAACATAATAACTAAATAAAGACTAATAAACTAATAAATAAAAAATCGTTCTTATCCAGAATTCAAACATTCTCGTGTGTAACATTTCTTGAGTTTTAATCCAGTAGACTGTTACCTGAATGTGACAGATTTATTTTTTCTGGATGCTGCATTTTCCAGAGATCCCTACATTATTTTAATTAGACAGTTTCCTGGGAAGTTTTTGTAACTATATAAACTCGGAGGAAAATTTATTCCCGAAATGGATGAATGTATTTATATTCCCACGGTTTTAAAATGTGTGCTTTCTTTTTATTTGGTAGCTTGTTTGTTTTTAATTTGTAGTGAGTATGTTAGAGCCTCTGGCGGGGACCTGTTTCACCCCTCCCCACCCGTAAGGGTGGGAGCCAGAGCCACCCCCACCTTGGAACACAGGGTAGCATTCAATTCTTAATTCTGAACTCATTAATACACATTCAATTCACAATTCTCAATTCGTAACTAACATTCAACTATCTCGACCGCACGGTCACATAACATTCTATTCTTATTATTCTTATTTATCAAAACACTTGTCACTAGCAATACATTTATCTTACTGTTCGCTGGTCTTATTCATTTATACAAACTTCGACATGGTCCTTCGAGCCGGATTAGCGACAGAATAACAGTGGTAGTGATAAGTGTAATTCTCAACATATCATTCATCGGCTGGAATTCAGCAAAGTAGTTATCAAAACATCACCTAGAAATCATCCGCGCAGTGTTCAACTATCGGTGACGACCGCGAGTGCTGTGCAAAATCTTCAAGTATCATTCAACGTCAGCCAAGATAATTCTATCCACGAATGCAGGATTCCAGGTAAGCTTTAATTCTGTTTGGTTGGTGTAATACATTTATTCTCGTACTCAAGATGGTGGTAATCCAAGACAATACTTTTGTTAAATTTTCAATTCTTCTCAGCGAAATAGATTCACATTCTAATTTTATATCAAATGTTGCAAATCATCAAAAAAGAGGCCATTTAAAGCGTCGATTTGAAGACGTACAGCGGATTTATTCAGAATTACAAATGCTTGTAGTTCAGCATAAATCCGAAACAATGGTAGTCCCGAATGACACGAGTAACACGGAAACGATCAAACCTATAATTTATAATATCAGAGACGTGCTAAATTATATTCAAAAAATATCCCAATTATATAATGTTCTCATTGAAAAAACTAATCCATTGTGTACTTTCTCGAATTCATGTAAGATAAATACTAACGTACCAATCACGGATCTGGAAAAAACTTGTCAAAATTTAAAGCCTTTAAAGGTACACAAATTAAGAAATGGAGAACCCATCAAAATTCACAAAACCCATTTCAATGCTCTACGTGAATTGAGGTTCACTATTGGTAAAAAATCCCCTCCGAATTCCATTGATTCACAAACTTCTATTATAATATCGAATTGTTCCACATTTCCAAATTCAACACCCAATGAAGATAAAAATCATCCTGTTAATGATTGTTACAACTCCGAGGGCATATCTCTAATTAATTCAGATAAAACGTCTAATGCAGAGTCATCTACCGCACTAGACAAAGTAAAAAGTCCTCCAGTTAATTCGAAAAACTGTGACTCATTGTTAGTCTGTAACCAATTTAAATGTAGATCGCAATATTTATGTAAATCCGTAGACTCGAATATTAAAGACAATACGTCAAACGTAGCAATACTCGACAAGAAAAAACATTCCGAAAATGTCATACCCAAAATAATAAGTCATTTCAGTAAAAACCCACCGGTGCTTCAAAATACCGCGCTGGGGTTGATTCTTAGCGGCAGTTTTGCATATTTAAAAAATAATACTTCCCATCATCACAAAATTAGTTCAGCCCAAATTATTTCTCGGTTCTTGGAAGCTGAAACCGTCAAAACCGGAAGCAGGTCATTAAGCAAAGGGTTTAAAAGCGATCTTTGTGCAACCCCTTTTCAGTATACTACCACAGGCCATTCACCCGATGGCCATTTCATGGTCAAACACCCCTTTTCGGAAAATCAGCTGCGCTTAGAGAATTTTGCACAAATGCACCCAAACTGGCTATTATCAGTCGACAGGAAGTTGGGGCGTTCCACAGTCCCTTATTTCGAAAATCTACCTAAATTAGGAAATTCCCCAGAACTCGCTCTCCAACTATTATTGTTAGCAGAGGGACGTGATCATAAACGTAACGAGGGTTTTATTGTCTCTCAAAGGAAGTACCTAGACCTTGTGCACCTGAAGGTACTTAACGAAAATTCCTCAAATAATTCCGTTTACCTGTCACACAATTGTATTTTAAATCCCCACGTTTCTTCCAATAAACTTTGCGAGGTTGTTGACCGTTCAAAGAGTTTAAATATGAATCGCCGGAGTTATAACGAAATTACTGATAAAAACCATCTTGAGGGCGAGGGCGTGTGTGCGCTCGCTGTCAGGGTTAAAGCCGTCCTGAATTCGCGCCTTTCGAAGCCTCTGTCCAGCGACCGCAATAATTTGGTCGCATTTATACCTGGCCAGTGCCTCTTTCGGCCAGCCATCAACTGGTCCCTCAGGAAAAGACCACGCTGTCGTTCCCATCAACAGGCCATCCCTTGCCACCTCATCCACGCTTACCATCAACACTTCTGGAAGTCGTGGTACCTCGAATATTTGACCACACTGAAAGGCAGGTTAGGGTGGCAAAGGCCATCTTCCAACGTTCTAGGAATGGCTAGATGGGTCCTCGCGAAGGAGGAGAAATTTCCGCGTCTACAGTGGCGGTTAGGACGCGGCCCTCCAACATCATTTTGGAAAGGAAGTGGTGGTGTGTGTAGTGTCGGTGAAGTGCAAAAGATAATTTCGCAATCGCATGCATTATCAATCTCTTTAACCATATTGCATATATCTTGTCAATTTGTTATATACATCTCATTGTTGATTTATTTTACTATGTTCTAAGTATTCATATTTGTATTATTGTTATATTCATTCGCCATATTATTCACCCATCGTATTTTTCATTAATTTGGATTATTATAATTGTTGTAAATTTACATTTAGGTCTATTGTAAATATTGTGTATTCACTGATATTGTACACATGTAATTTGTTTTAGATATCTTTTTTTAAAGTTTAATGCATTTCTTCAGGTTCATTGCTTTCTGTAACAATGTCCACCCAATTCATGTAATTTCATCTGTATTTATCATTACTAAATCATGTTTTCATTCTAATGTTCCATATAGTTTATTTTTGATCTTAAAACAATGTAATTGTTTCAAGGCGGGGGGTATGTTAGAGCCTCTGGCGGGGACCTGTTTCACCCCTCCCCACCCGTAAGGGTGGGAGCCAGAGCCACCCCCACCTTGGAACACAGGGTAGCATTCAATTCTTAATTCTGAACTCATTAATACACATTCAATTCACAATTCTCAATTCGTAACTAACATTCAACTATCTCGACCGCACGGTCACATAACATTCTATTCTTATTATTCTTATTTATCAAAACACTTGTCACTAGCAATACATTTATCTTACTGTTCGCTGGTCTTATTCATTTATACAAACTTCGACAGAGTACATCATGCATTTGCGCCAGTAATAAATTCCACACAGCGTCATGGTGACAAAAAATGCATTTCTGGAACCATCATTAGAATACATATCAGATACGAAGCACGGCACGTTGGCATAAATTTACAAATGAGCAACTCGTTATTTCAGCCTTCCTCTACAATTTGTCTTAGTTTGTTTTGTATCATCGTGTCCCACATGTTCAGCGAAGGAGGCATTAATGACGCTTTCGTCGCAACAGCAACATGCTCACACGCTTGTTTGAAGAAGGTGAATTTATTTTTGAAACCCTCTCGTGGAAACTCCACATACCATTAATTTGAATTAGTTGCAAACTAATCCAGTCGGTTGGCGGCGCTTGCGGTGTAATTTATGCAAGTTTTGCATAGGAATAGTCTCATGGAACACGCTAAACACCATCAATTTGCAATTTCTCCGGCTGCTTAATGCATTATTTTCATTTAGAATAAAGCAACTAGTGCTACAAGTGAAGATGGGGGCGGCGTGTTTACGCCTTTTGCCGCGGCCCTGCGGAGCGCTGCTTGCAATCGACGCTTAGTACGCGCTGTGCCGTCGCGACGGTCACTTGTTTCTTCACAGAAAAAGTTAATCAGAGTTGGCTATACGCACGGCCAACTTCGTTTATCGTCGCCTCGATCGGGGGGTGCTAAAGTATTATTGCTTGCCTAACCTGACTTTTAGTTTCCATTTGCATATGCAGTAAACCGACGATTGATGGCACGTGTAAGTATTTCATCAAAATTTAATCATTTGCCGCATAACAAAATAAAAGTTGCCACTGCGGGGAAACGCTGCACTGTTTATGTAACAGTTGAGGGTTAAAAAAACATAATCTAGAGAAAGCTTTTTCTTTATGTAAATTATTTCAAATGGAAGCTATTACGCGTCTAAATGTGTTAACATATTAAATGGATCTAATACCGGTCGACGTCTACATTTCTTGGCGTCGATTTACTAAATTGGAGGGCTTAGTTTTGGAGGTTGATTGTAATCAAGTTATTTTCGAGTGTCTTCTACAGAAATTCTTGTAGCCTGCATTCATTAAAGTTGATTATGTTCTTCTAGTTTAAACAACAATTTTACTCTGTCTCTACCGCTTAAAACGGCATTATCTTGTAGTGTACTTCCTGAAAAATTTATTTCATTAACGGATCCCGAGGATAATATAGTTTAGAAAAAGTTTTGGATAAGCTCTCGATATTGAGGTTACAAGTTTCTTGCGTCAAAAAGAATTTTAAATGTTCGAAATATTACCGAGATTATGCATGTCAACATTTTCAATAATAATTTTAAACGTAAGATTAACCCTTAACAAACGTTTAAGTTATAATTAATTAAAGTAAAATTGTTGTTATAAAAATGTTAAATATATACAGACGTTTGTAATATTAAATAGTACTAAACTGTTATTGTATTTAACACACTGGGGGATTATTTTTATAATTATTGTTCTTCATGAATGTGCACTGCAACTGTAATATAAATACAATATTCTCGTTAAATATGAAACAAAAATATTTGTGGTCGTAAAGGAAATTATTTAATTATAAGCAACGGGTGTTCAATATTTGTTTTGAGTGGAAATTACAACCTGTTAATGTGACGACTTTAAACACATAAACTTTTGAATATCCGACATTTATTATGTTATAGTAAACATCTGAATGTTTCTCTGTGGTTGCTACTGTAATTCGAAAATTGATTTAAAAATTATTATAAGTATATATAATTATCCCAAACATTCACTTGGCTCTTTTAATTGCAATGGCGTGTTTGGCTTTAGGTAAAAAATAATTAATATTCGATAACCTTTAACCCATAAAACGTACATAAAATTGTACTAAATAATATAAAATTCTTTATTTTTATTATAATGTAATAACAAAAACGCATCTAGATATATTGTTAATAGCAATTAAAACGTATTGAAAAAAATATGAATTATCGACACTTATTGATTAAAACTATTGAGTGTTTCTATGTTTTTTAAGTACTAGCTCCTACTTAGGGTTCTTATAAGTTTGTTTATTGTAAAGGTAGTAACTTTTCGTCTTATTTTGTAAACATCAAACGTCAAAATAACTAGATGTGTAATTATGGGGCAAAACGGTACTTTGGTCCACGAGATGAAGCTTTTTCCATGAAGCTTAACCATCTTAAAAAACATTTCAGAACGCCAAAGACGTTTGACGAATAAGTTAAATACAATTTTTTTGTACAACTGTATTTGACCAATAAATAATTTTGTACAACTTAGTTATATTTATTTGCAGACTGTGTTTCTTCGCTGTCTTACTTATTTTTTTTTGTTTTAAAAACACACAATGTAAAATATAAATGTGAAGCTTCTTTTACAGTTTTTAAGCCTAAAACAAGAACAATGTAATGTCGTTGAATTGTGGACAAAAATTCTTTCTAAAAATGTGAAAGCTACTATTTTACTGGTGTCGAAAAATATACGATACAGTACTACGATGAAAACGAATCATTTTTAAACAATAGGACAAAAGCGTGGGAAAAAGCCCGCAGTACATTAAAAATTCCAGCATGTGGGAACATTATTATGTTCATATTTTGATAGAGGAATTTTTTACTGAGTTGAAAATTTACATACGTAAATTGTTTAAACAATTTGAATGTAAAAACATTTATTGCAGCTGGATAAACAGTAATGTACTCGTAGCACGAAGTGCTTCATTTATTAAGGCAGTTACGTAGAACAGGTCCATTTTGTAAAATTATTTGGTTATGCAAATCCATTATTTTTGCTTTATTTACATATGCATTTTAAAGCGTTTGTAATTACATATTTAGAAATTCTGTTGTACAAAACTTTCTTAATACATACAATTTTGCAAAACTAGTAACTATCCACTTTGCAAATATGCCTCGAACTTACCTTTGGACGTTAAACTTTCTTCTATTTAATTCGACCGCAATAAAAAGCAAAATTCATCTGAATCGCTGTTTAGTCCTTGACCTCATTACAACTTTTTGTTTCACATTTTCATTTCATCTTACAAAGGGGAAGCGGCGTAACAACTAAATAACAAGCAAATACCTGATTTTATCAAGTGTTGTTGAAGGAATTTAATGATGCTAGCAGGTTTATTTTATGTTAGTTAAATAAGGGTTGGATATTTTAATCTTATTTGTCACGTCCCATGCGTTTTGGATGTTACCATCAAAGTTTCTGAACACACCTTTATCAAATTTAATATAACAACCCCAACTCTCTTGTTGTAATAACTGACATTTTCCCAGGCAAATAAACTATCTGTAACATATTACAATACACATGTAAATGCCTACGGAAAAAGGTACATTCAAACTGTTCTGCCTAACTCTTCATAAAGGACTTCATAAAAACTCTTTGTGAAATAAGTACATTCCTTGTTATGAAATTTTAACAAAATGAAATTGTTGTGGGCATAGTAATTCATCCTTGTTTTTAGCTTTCTAAACAAAATTTTCAAAAAAAAAACAACATATATATACATATATAAACTATAATTTTTCAAAATTTATTTAAACATTAAAACAAAAAAATAAGCGAAAGTAAAAGGCCTCATTATCTACAGTTTAGACAAATTATAACACGTGTAGACCATTTTCAAGCTTGACACATCGAAAAAAAATCCATTTTTTGTCGATTTGTAAAACCTGCAATTTGCTCACTTCTTCGGTTGTAGGAGAATTGGTTAACGATGCTTCAACTTTACTTACCCACAAAATGTGTCCTTCGTAAGTTTAGGTACTCCGAGTCTAAAAACCTCTCAAGCGTCAGCAAAACTTTCTATTCTCGGTTCTGCGTTAATTCGCAATCAATATTCACATATTTTTTATTAATGACCCTTTTTCTCAACACTCGCCAGTTATTTTATCAGATTTATGTGTACTGCGTAAAGACGTACTTAATACTTTCTATTAGCAAGACAGGAAAGAAATAGGTTATCTATTGACGGAAGCAGAATTTAATCACAGCGAATTTATTAATATGAAAATACTGCGATCGATGAAGTATTTTAATCATATATTGTATAGTAGTAGTAGTGGTAGTAAACTTCAGCTTTTAATAATAGTTTTAATAACCCTCTAATTCCGACGACAAATTATTTTGTAATGGAAATTAATGATAACCATGGTCAAACATGTAAACTTAAAATTCATAGTCGATATCGGAATACCGCGAAATGTTGCTTATGTATTTATTGCGTTAATAATAAATACGAAATGTTGATCGCAAACATGACGACTAAAACTGTCTACAAACTGAAAATTTCTTACAATACATGAATCGATTATAACCAAGGTATGGTTGAAAGAAAGTTCAAAGTTTTACACAATGTGCCGGTGTGATGTGGAACATTTTTTTTTAATGCTATCCATTAGGAAGAATAGAACAGTGATGTAGATGTCTATAATTGTGCCCTATTCTGCGAACAACAAATTAGTTTGTGATATTATGTTCAGCGGCTCAATTATTTCGCATGGAGTGATTAAAAAGTGTTCTGCGAACACGCGATTTAACGTCATGTCATGATTAAAACATTAGTTTTATAGCATTTCGATATCTTGAACCATCAGTGAGTTATCGCCTGTAAAAATCAAATTGGGAATATGCTTTGAAAAATAAAATATTTACATGACAGGGAAATTTTTATTTCTGTATATTATAAACCTTAGAATTATGTACAATTCACATTTTTAAAATTTGAAGTTTAAAGATCCAATTTTATGACCTAAAAAGACTTGATTAATTCGATTCGGTGCTTTTTTAATTAAAGAATAATATTAAATATAAAGTTCTCGACTGTATAGAATAATTTTAGAATAATTGTGAAGTGACTCTAGTACCTACTTGTGTTGTTGGTTTATATGCAAACTTTAATGAAATGATATTTTATGTATTTATGTTGTTGAGCAGGTAATAATTATTCAGATCACATTGTAATAACAGTACTATGCAACCTTCCAGCCTGTGTCCCAGAAGCAGGAATAACAACAGTGGGAAATTTAATGGCGGGGTCTTGTGATCTTGAAATTTAGAAATATCCATGATGGCACATGAAAAATCAAAAGAGATTTATAAATTAAATAAAACCTAACAAACAAAAACTAAGAGAAAATAGTTCTAAATTTTTTTTTAATGGTTTGGTGGTTTTGCGTCGGTAACTCTGCTCTGTGCTTATGTTATGTTGTTAACAATGAGGTTTGAGGCTAGAGTAATTGTCAATTTTAGTTCAAAGGATGCACGTCAAGCTAGCAAGTTGAATTAACTGTGGTTGAGCTCATGCAGTAAGTAAAAACTTACAGTGAATTAATTCGTCGTATTTAAACATTAAAATGTTGGGCTCATAAAGTTTTTAATTTGGAGAAAATAAACGCCTAAGCGCTAAAAATACGGCACTTACATAAAGTTAAAATCTCATATTTATTCGCATTTATTAAATTGGTAAAACTAAGTATGTAAAAATTAGGGAAATAATTTTGCTAACAGTTTTTGCCAGATGTAAGTAAATTAAAAAAAAAAAAATGGGGTTCTTAGTTCCAACTTTATACATACGACTCCGTATTGCTTTTTTGCTGATTTTTGACCGCGACTTTGGGTAAGTTTGATAAAAAAATGAATCCTTTGCTGCTTACGGCTATTGCATGCAGTGATTTGCTAGCGTTACGTGTGCGGTTAAATGTGCATCTGATGCTTTTACTCGAATTAATTT